ACAGTCGGGGTCAGTTTGCCATTACATTACATAAAGGCAAATTTCACATAGACACATAGATTACTACAAACATAATGAAAGCTTTGACTAAAACAAACTATTTAGTGTGTAAACCAATAGTTTTGCTTAAATGTTTTTCAAAATGTATTTATTTCTACTTGAGAGTCAGTCTAAACTGTGTGTTAGTCAAGACCCCCCACTGATCAACTTATGCAACTACTGTCGAGCAAAAATGGGTTGCCTCAGATAAATTTTGTTGTAATTAAAGTGAATGTTGCACTGAAAAGGGATCCAAATAATGTGCTGTTTGTAATTGCTGCAAATGTGCCGAATCCAGTTTAAGGTGCAGTGCCATGCATTGGCCAGTAGATGTTGCTAACATGTTTTTTTTTATTCTGTGTCTTTGTGTTTGGGTTCAGAATGAGGGCACTGTGGGTTTCGACACAAACAGATCCGTCTTGCTCTTCCTTTAAAATACTTCAGTTAGTCAATAAAATAGTGAAAGATTACTTATGCCACATCCATTATCCATCCGTCCCTCTCCTCTCTATTCCCACCTGTCATTGCATGGTTGTAGGGGCGAAGGGCTGGACTGTATAATTAGGCAAGAGGTGGGCCACACTAGTCAGGTCTCCAGTCCACCACAGGACAGCGCAGAGATAAACAGCCTCATATGCCCACTCTCACTTCTTAGAGAAATTTAAAGATAGATTAAATCTGCTTTTAATTTGTCTTGGACTTTTTGTGCCAGATTTGTTTGTTCTCCATGGATCTGCTTCAAACTCCTGTCAGATAAGCGTTTCAAAAATATATTTGTCTCTTTTCTTTATTTCCTGAATGCAAACGTTTTACGGAGATACATTTCTGAAACATTCATTCAACTGTTTCATTCAGTAACAATGAATGAGCTCTTGCTTTTGTGAAACTCAAACACCAAGCACAGATATTTCATGCCAATACATTTTCTTCAGTAAATGGCAAATAGAAATACTACCTCAGATTAGCAAACATTGCTGATGTGTCACACATAGCCGCACCAAAGCCCAACAAGCATTTTTAAGCGTCTTTTACTGGATGTTAAAGGTATTTTGGTCTATTCTTCTTAAAACAATGTAAAATAAAGCATTATTCATACATTGTGCTTACATGTATGGTGCTGGGTCAACCCTGGTTGACTGTCAAACTATGTTGGGACTGCTCTTCTTCTCCCTCTGTGTCGGCAGTGATTGGCTTCAGGCCCCTTCCACGACCCCCTGTAGGAAACAACAGAAATAACAAATGGTTGAATGGATTATTTTGATTGATTTTTACAGTGTAGCTAATGGAGAAATGTTGTTGTACTGAAAGCAATGCTTTGTAGGAAAATTAAACACTGCATTGTTTTTGCATAGATCCAAATACTTTGAATCTAAAGGGACAGCAGCATACATCAGTGTAATATGATGGGTTTGCATGATGAATTTATAATCCCCATTAGTTAAAGGAATGCTAAATGGGCAGCTTCCTGAGATAATATTGATACTGAAAGTGCTGAAAGCTGCTTGTCTGAGAACACCTGCTTCTTTGTGTTCGTGCAACAATAGCACACTGTCACTGCTCATCTTTTTTTGTCTCCAAATATGAAGCTAATCACTCATCACATTAGCTCTCTATTCCAAGGATCTGCTCAGGCGGAGAGTCACTGTCTGCAGCCTTCACAGTGTGGAGAATCTGACACACGTGAACCTAAAAGATTGAACCTTGACTTAAATGCATAACAGTGGGGGGGGGGGTTAATAAGAAGCAAGCTGAAAAATTACTTACTCTATAAAAATGTAATAGCATTCATATTATTTGTCATGGTCATCAGTCTTTTCTATTTGCTCCAAATTACTTCTGTTCAGTCAAAACTTCTTTCTTTTACTTCAAACAGAAGTCAGAAATCAGCACTTTCTGATTTGTACACACAAAAAGGAGTTTTTTATTAACACAAGCCCTACAGAAAACAACATTATTCAGCTGCATGCTTCATGGCTCCAGACTATAGTCTTTGCCAATTGTAATTATGATTTGCTTTGTACAAAGCACTCAAATGTTCTGGATGGGCAGTAAAGGCCTTTGCCTGACCAGCAAGAGTTGCTTGAAGGCCCTGTAATGTTGGAAATCTTGTTTGTTCTCCCCTATTTGAAGGCTGCAAACATCTTCTTAGTGAAGTTTCCCTTCTAACAGACAAGTATGTACGGTAGGTATATTTTGAAGTAAAGGCAGATTAGAAATACCACGGATACCAGATGTTTACATACACTGTCTAAAATAAGTGTTTTGTTAAGTCATACATAAAAACTGCCCAGACTACATTTTTTCTTCAATCCAAAGGATGAAATAGAATGAAAGTATTCAAGTCGATGTGAAAATCAGAACTAATACATTGGGAATTTCTTAGATGTCTTTTGTAGTTTTTCTCTTTAGATTTTTTTTTTTTGTGTGTGAATGCTGCAGTGGATTTTAAAGTTTCTTGAAACCTCAAGGCTGAAAAGAAAACACATCTTCCATATCAATTTTTGATGCAGGAAGAATACTGAATCATTTGCGGTACAAAAGCATTTGAATATCGTAGTCGTGACATTGCTTTCTTCCATTTCTCTCCACATCAGTCTCCTGCTTTCTTGTGCTGCTGTCCAGATGTTTTTCTTCAGTATCTGATTTGTCTTGTCACATTCATTTACATTCAGGTAATGAAGGATTTGACTTAGTGTAAAAAGTTTGTTTTCAGCAGGGCTGAACTGGCTGCCGTTTCACAGTCAGGCAGTGATTGACCAGAACGACACAAAGGGAGAGCAACATACATGAAGTAAAATGTCATTTTTTTCTCTCCTTATTCAAATAGCAAAAAGAAAAGAAAGGGGGAAAAAAACAGTTGGTGGTGCAAAGCCTCAAGGACTTTAATGTTTTATTTAAAAAGAGAGTTACAGCCCAAAAGAAAAAGTCTCGAAGGCAGTTAGACTGGCTTGACTCGCACAACTTTGAAGAAGTCAGTCATGAAAAAATAAAGATGCTCAGAGCAGTGTGTGGGCACTGAAACAAAAGTCAGTGTGCATTATGTCTAATGGGGGCAGAGTGACTTCTTCAATTAAGAGGGAGCATGATTTTCTTGCACTTTAGTGCTGATACAGAATGAAAAATCATAAGGATGCCAAGCTCTGCTAAGAAAATACTCAAAACAGCTCAAAATGTTTTGAACATAGTAATGTTTTACTCAGTCAATATAATTCTAATGGGGCTGCTGACCTCAAATTCACACCAGATACTGGTAACAAACCCAAGCATTCAACACAAGAAAAGAAATATTAAATAATTTTAACATGAATGTGTAATAAAGTGAAATGATTCTTGGAATAGGTGTTGAAAAGTGGCATCAAAGAGGCATAGAAGATAGCTAAAATATAGGTTTGCATTTAATTAGCAAACCTATATAATTGATGGTGTTTTGTATTATTTCTCACGGTGACCCCAAAAAAAGCATCTGACAATGACAGAAGGCCTTCCCAAGCTGATTTGCATACAAATGGCTTTGGCTAGATACATAAACCTTTGGAATATTGCAGTGAGCACCACTGGAGCCAATAAATATAAGTGGAAAGAAAAATAAATTCACTATAAGTCATCCAGAGCCACATAATCCTTGTAAATGTTTTGGGAAATTTATGAGAAGAATTGAAGTTCAGAGAGGACAGAAGATAAATATCTGAAGACAATATGTGTGAAAAACTGGGCAAGAATCACTCAAGGGCGACGCTAGTTCTCCTTCTAATACATTTTAGAAAGCATGTTCATTACTATACCTTCCCATTTTTATTTGGAACTTAATTGATGGGCTTATTTGTCTTAATGTCTTTGAATGTGTGGATTTCTTGTATTTCCTTTTCACACAGTACATTTTTGATATATTTGAAGCATTTGTTTTGGTTGAAATTTCGACAATTATGGATGGGTTACAGTCAATGAGAGCCCCAACGTAATCAGAATATTGGATGAAAATACAATCTTTCTGATGAATGATGTAAAAAATAGAAAACCTATGTTCATAACATGGCCCACATAATCAAGGGCAAAACTTCTGCTTTCATAGTTATCCAGGAGACAGTTGACAAATGACACAAAACCACAAAGGGCTACGCTAATGAAGGTGGCAACTATTAATGGAAAGTTGAATGAAAGGGAAAAAATGATTGAAAAGTGCACAAAGCATGCAGGTTGGGTTGATAAATTTGTCTTTATCTTTATAGATAAAGACAAATTTGCATGTCATGCTAAATAAAGGCCCGAGAGTCTGGAGTGTAGAGGATGGAACGTTGTCACCTACTGGTGTTGGTCCACCGTGTTTCATCAAGTTCAAAGTTGGTGCAGCTGCTAGTGGGAGACTTGCCACCTGCTCATGATGTCCAAGGTACCTGTGTCTGATTTAATTACCATGATACCACTGTGCTTTGGTAGACTTCAATCTGCTCTGATGTAAATCCCAGAGACCACAATGTAGGCGAGCTGAAAACAACCCGATTTTCCCCAACACCTCAGCAGAGGTCGACTGCCTCTATGCCTTATGTTCACCAACCAGGCATTAAGTGCAAACACTCTGCAGTACATTTTGGGTTTGTTAGCTTTCATTGAAACATTTCATTACATGTGTGATAAATGCATATGTTATATCTGAGTTTGACTTTTTGAATTACTGAAATAAATTAAGTTTTTCATTATCTAATTTTTGATGAAAATTTGGAGGAAATTTTTCATTTTTCATTTCCCCCTCGACAGTCCTCATCATAAAAGCACATCCTGCCATCTACCAAAACAGGAATAATATTCCTGGTACTATATAGCGTTATTACAGTGTCAGCCTTGTGTGCACCTGCTACTATAACATCTAATTTATCAGCTTGGGGCCAGTGCGCGCGCATCGTACTGCCACGGACACACGGAGGCGCCAGAACACTTAAAGCATCGACCCTGTCTTGGTATTGACTTGTAGCTCCAATTTCAAACCAGACGTGAAACTCATTCAGATGCCTCCCTCTTTCTCCGCTGCTCTGTCTCTCTCTGGAAGCTCGTTTTTAGCTGCATGTCATTCAGTCGTTCAGTCAGTCAGTCAGTGGCTCCGCTCCGCTGCGCCTGCGCCTGTCTCTCCAGCTCTCCAAAACCGAAACGCGCCACCGATACCGCCGCCGCCGCCACTGCGGGCATGACATACTACAAGCAGTACTGATAGTGGGTTTCCATCTCCCGGCTTTTGAGAGGATTAAAAAAAAAAAAAAAAAAAAAAAAAAAAAAAAGGAGGGAGACGTGGAGACATAAAAGAAGAACAGAGGGAAGAGATACATTTCTGGCCGTGCCGTGCGTCGAGAGGAGTGGATGAGTCAATGGCTGGGGCACAGCCTGGAGTTCATGCGTTGCAGCTCAAACCAGTGTCCGTGCCGGAGTGCCTCCGAAAGGGCAGCAAATTTATGAAATGGGATGATGTAAGTAATGGATAGACACACCGGCAGTATTTTTTATTTTTTATTTCTAATTATGACGACATCTCTGCATAATTTCTATGCGCTTTATTTGCATGCACATGGTCCAATGTAGTATGTTACACAATCTTTAAGCGACTCATGCAACAACATAGCGAGTATGTATTTGCAGTGGGGACTGCAGTGACAGGGGCTCAGTGCTTTACCTTCATGCTTTAATCTAGGAATGCTGCAAGAATGCAGCACCCTGACATGCGCTTTGTTTACATCTTAATGCAGAGTATTTGTAGGAGTACACGCGAGTGAGTGCACGTGCCTTTTCCAAAGCTCGTGCGTCAATGAAATTGACATTTCACAGTTCATCTTACTTCTGCTTGTTCACTTTATTTTTATGGGTTTATATGGACACCAGCACTGTAGTTGACATGAAAAGACTTAAGTTCAGTAAAATTTCAAACCGAATCACCTTTCTCAAGAAATAGATGAACACTCACCTCTACTAATCTTGCACTGACTTCAGACAAAGCTGCCACTCTTCAGATGAAGTTCAAGTTGCTGACATCAAAAGTAGAAATTGAAAGGGACTTTTGTTGTGATCCAGTTACAACCAATTTGAATAACTGTGCTTTTCTCTTCTTTCCTCAACCTGGGTGCAGGCCTGTGCACAGTGTGAGGATTTGCATGTGATTATTTATATTTGAAACATGTTTTTCCCCTTTTCCTGGAATATTTTCCCCTCTACTAACAACACCTGGAAATGAGCTTTAAGTGGTGGGGGTACTCTAATTATTAGTGAAAGAAATCTGAAATTTGTTTAATTCACAGTTCTTGTACACTTTATAGTGGCCTTAATAAATGATCTTTCTTTTAATTTATGGCCATCTTGAAATATAAATTCACAAGCCTCTTGGTGAAAATGCATGTTATTTTATTTGACTCCAGGTGAGCCAAGCACAGCACAGATGGATGAGGGTTGCAGAAGTGCGAATACAGTCAGTCCAGACGGCAGTGAGGAAATCATGCACATTCGCAAACATTCCACTCTGTCAATCATCAGAGGACTTGTGAAACACTTTAATTTAATAGCCAAAGAGTGGTCATTCCATCAGCTTTGTCTTTGTTGTAAAATGGGGCGTCAAGTGTGAGTCGTTTCCTCAAATGGCCGTGTTTGCAGTCTTTGGCACATGCAGCTGTATCTCCAGAGCCAAATGCCTGCCAGGCCTTTCCTGTGAAATACAGACATACCCTCAGATACTTTCTCTGGGTCATCTCCCATCCAGGTCCTTCCCATTTCCTTCCCGTGTCATTTCGTGGAAAGAATCACAGCGGAATAGGAAGCCCAATTAAGAGAGGGGAGCTATAACGAATTGAAAGTGGAGAAGAATTATATTAAATTATTATTATTATTATTTTTATAACAGCTTTGGGTTTGGGGTTTCTCTCCAATTTTTTTCCCCCACATGAAATTGTGTAGGTCACAAGAAACAAGATATGGATGTGCCTCTTTCATTTATGCTTTTCTCTGATGTGGGTTTTACTTATCTATGCTTCTACTTTGCCGAAAATTAAATTTTGTGCTTCTCGCGAGGTGCACGAATGATGTAAAATTTGTTCATGGTGCAGAAATCACATACAATAATATTATATATGAACAGCAGCTATGATTTTATGGAAAAGCAGGCAGTATGAGAAACGGAGGAAAACTCCAGCACAAGACTGTTGGGGAAAGAAAGGACAATCTGATCGCCTCTAAATGTTTGCCGAAGTCCCACAGAAAGGCGGTTGCATATTATTTGTTTTAACTAAGTCAGTCAGACGCTTTGCATTTCTATTGAACTGTTTCAGTCATTTCAAATTAAACTGTTGACTATAACAACTTTCAAAAAGCTGTCATCAGTTCAGACAAAAGCTGAAAGCTCAACATGATCAAATGGAGCGACTTTCCTGTGATAAATTCAGCCTTCCTGTTATCTGCTGGAAGTATTACTCACACTATCCCATTGCCTGAATGAACTGAAGACATTTTACAAAAAAAAAGTTTTATTTCAAAAAGCTTCTTTTATCTAGCAACTTTTAAACACCACACTTCCCTTAGTAAAGTCTTTCACATTTTAAAGCATTTTTGTCATCAGGACATGATACTGCTTTGATGCATTTACTAATCAGTAATCAATATCTGATTTGTCATTTGATCATGATTATCAATAAATGACAAATGCTAAAAACTAGTTGCGCCTCTATTGATAAATGGAGGCTAAGGCAAAACCTAATTTGTCATTATGATTTGTGGAAGATATATATATATATATATATATATATATATATATATATATATATATATATATATATATATATATATATATATATATCACACACACACACACACACACACACACGCATACTGGATCTATAAAAAGGTTACTTTGGAATCATCCCCATTTTTTGTATGATGCACTCTGAAAGAGATCTTATCTGTCTGCATAAGGGAGCTTAAAATCCAGTGTAAGTAGCAGGATATGTCATTAGGAGACAGACCAGAAATGTGCAGAACTCAAATCTACTCAGTAACATTCCCCCTTAGGTGAGCGCTAATGGCACAGATGCTTTGCTAAAAAAAAAATAATAATAATAATAATGACAGTCTTTCTTGGCAGGGACCAGTGACCTCAGGGTGTGTACTTTTGTCATTCATTCTGCCCTTTGTTTGACAAAAATAAGACCACAGCTTGCTAAGGTTGTCCAGACAAATGACATTAATAAGAAAAAAAAAAAAAGCTAAACTAAAAGCAGATGGGAAATGTTCATTCTTGGCTCACCAGAAACAATAGACATTTGTTGAAAACAAAAGGAACACACAAACAGTTGGTTTTTCTTAGAAAAATGAAACGCAATGATACAAACCACTGGAAGTTTCTGTGTGGGTTTTTTTTTTCTTTTCAGTCCCAAGAGAAAATCTTCACTTAGAGCCCATAATAGCTTAATGTGTTTGTTATGGTGGCTGTGGAGAGTTAAGACATTAAGAAGCTGGTGAAAATGACTGCTCTCACATCATTAGGTTGATTCCCAGAGCTCACAAACCATCCTTTATTCCTTCCACTAACATCAGAACCAATCCATCAAATGCCACATCCTGTCCCACTGCATAAATGCTTGAACTGGTTTAATGGAAATGCGAACGTTTTGACTAAAAGTTGTTGATCCACTTCATTACTAATTCATTTTCTAGGAATCACTGATGTGTTTATTGAGTGCGGGAAATTTTTATTTATCAGTAAAAGTGGAGTTGGAGTAACTTAAAGGCAGACAGTGACTTTATGAAGATTTTATGTAATAGAGTAACACAAATGAGCATATCGGGAGAATGAAAATCTAAATAGTGATGGTTCTTTTATCCTGATGCCCCACAAAACATATATCCATATGAACAAGAAATATAAATTTGCACTTTCCTATTTATAATTATCTTCCACAATTCACAATTTTCTGCTTCTCTGTATTTTTTTTCTATCACCCTCAATTTCAAATTATTTGGGCTGGTGGATGTGACCCACCAACAAATGAAAGAAAAAGTATGAATAGGTTTGCATGCCCCTTACTAAGCACTAGCATAAAGCGGGGTGTTCTACTATCACCCCATGCAGGTTTTTCTCACTCAGTCAAGCCTACAAAGATTGTGCAATCATGTGTGCACAACCAAAACTGATACTTGCGAGTCTTTATTAGATTTCAAATGAATGTTGAGTTGCCATAGTGAGCATCCCTATAGCAAATGCTTCTCAGAACATGTCATTCATTCACTTTTCACTCAGTTCTTTTCTTCCTGTATTCGCTTTTCCCTCTAACCTCTTCAGTGTCCACATGGATCTTAGTATTGCTCAGTCACGGAGTAAGTGTGTGATTTTTTTTTCTACGATGTTTTATTCTTTTGAAGCAATTTTATTTCAACACAATAAAATTATTTATTATTGTTCTCTGCACCACAGTACAGTTGGATCCGAGGTCTACAAGCTCCAAGTCGAATGGTTTCATGATATGTTGAACATTAAGTGCCATGGGGTCACACAAACAGATACAGTCTCGCCATTAGCTCTGCCTCCAAATGCTGTGTTAGGGACCTCATTAGTTGCCTCATGGAGACACTTTGAAGATTTTGTTGCTCCGTGCAGCAAATATGGTTTGATTTCACTGATATCACAGATATGTCTGATTGAAGAGGGCAATATGCTGCTGTTCAGCTGAACTGCTGCCACAATGCGATGCTGGGGAAAAAAAGAAAAAGAAAAAAAAGGGCAAAGCCTCTTTCTTTTTATAGTGGCATCCAATATCTGACGTTGCCATGTGCGCCTCAGGGTCAAACTGTGTCTGTGAAACATGGGACCGTCTTTCTATAGAAGCTGTGGGAAAGCATTTCCCCTTTTGCAAGACGGGAAAATGGTAACATCAGCTTTAAAACAACCTGCAGCCATGAGTGCAGCCGCAGCAATTACACTCACACGCCAGTGAGCTGGTCATTTGTGGCAGTGCCTCGTCATGAATTGAAAAGTACCCTATAAGAAAAGGATTGTGCGTAAAGTGCAACATAAACAGAGGTTTTAATGTCATTTCAGACTCTGGAATGCAAGTGTTGTTGGGGGGGAGAAAAAGTATGCTTTGATGCTGACAGGAAAATTAACCGGTTTACCCCAGGGAATATTCCGTCATATGTACTTGCGTATAAGCCACAAGAGGGATGCAGTGTTACATGGTGACACGCTAATTGACTCCAGATGTCTTGTCTTTCTTACTACAGGATTCCACCACTGTGACCCCTGTGACTCTAACAGTTGACCCCAAAGGCTACTTCCTGTACTGGATTGACCAGAACAAGGTAAAAACACCAAGCTTTTAAGTCTGTCGAAGGGTTTTTAGTCTGAATCTTGACCTACATGCTTACAAAGCTGCAAGAAAACAACATTCTTCTATTAGGTTTATGTAACATTTAGTTGTTGTTGCAGCAGCAGCGGCATAAACAGTTGTTTTCCGCATTTCTGTTGTGAAATGATCAAACCTTACAATTAGGTTGGAATCTTGTGTATTCTTTGTGTTATTGCTAGTCTGAAGGCTTTGTGTGTGCTTTGATGGATGCAATGCAAGGACAAACTATCACAGGCATTTGTTACTATGTTAACAATCTGACAACAGGCAAAACTGCAAAATTGTGAAGAACATATTGTAGTTGTTGCAGTTGCTTTAAAAAAAAAATCAGACTCACAGGCTTAAATTTGAACAAGTGTCAAAGTTAGGAAGTAATATAAACATTTATCTGCAGGTTACAAAAATAAGATAGCTCTTTGTGCTTACAAACAATCTATAATGTAGTCTTGCATGATGCAGGTTAAATAATAGGTGGCTGTCATGAGATTCTCACAAAATGATTAAAAAAAAGGTAGACACGCCATATTTCTTTGACGTTATAAAACTTTCATCTGAAAAATGTAAGCATCATAGTATATTTCATTGCTTTTCTTTAAACTATAAAGAAACAAATTCTCCTCCTACTGCTAAACTATTTTTAACGTAATAATCATTGCTGTTTATCAAAACATTGCTGTTGTACAAAGCGTGTAATTCTTTTGAATTGCAGGCATAAGAAGACATATGGACAAACTACCATTTCAGTTAAGAAGGACGGTCTATACCTTTTCAGCATTTTGCTCTTTAAAGAGTAACAAGAAGTGGATAATAGCTCTTTAATCAGTTGGTCTAAGCTGCCTTAATAAGAGTGATCAATTGTGTTGTTTTTGTTTGTGTACGAGTGCCGGTGTTTTTTGCTATGGGAAGTCTTTACAAACAACTATATTTGTCTTTTAAGTGAGGAAAGAAAAGTGCAGGATTCTTCTTTCAGCCATCTGGCCGGTAGCGTGCAGCAACATGTGGGGGAGTGACAAAAATGTGTTGCACTGTAATCCACACACTGGTCCTTTCTGCACTTTTTGTGGCCTTAAACCGTCACAACTGTATGAAAACAGCAGCATGAAACCATAATTTCAGAAACCTTTTTGTACCATGGTAGTGTGCTTCATTCTTTGAAACATTACCAAATCAAAAATCATGATCTGGTTGTAACAAGCAATAACTTCAGCTATTCCACTGTCCGGCCATTATGTTGAATGCAGTACTGAAAAGTGGACTGTGTGGTGGCCCTCTGTTGTCGTTGTGGCCTCATTAATCTATCTCGTCGGACACTTTTATTTGTTGGAGATCTGTTACAAACTCTTGGGCTATGTTTACTACAAACACAGGGTAACTTTATTGTGCTTACATTGAAAAAGAAACACACACACACACACACACACACACACACACACACACACACACACACACACAGATCCAGACTGAACTGCACTTTCTATCGTTATACCTTCCAGTTGCCTGCCATTTTGTGCTTGGCCAAATTGATCCGTTCCCACAAAGGAAGGTGTGGCTTAAGCAGTAAAAGAACTGTGTTGAAAAAACTGTTTCACCCGGAGTGCTTAACATGACACATGTGAGAATACTCTGTTATTTTGTGCCTTCAGTTATTACCGAAAGACACCAGGAGCAATGTTGTGAAATTACCTCTGTCTGATAATGCTAATGTTGATTATTAAGTTTATTTGCTAGGGACAGACACACATAGACAAACTGAACAGAACATCAGTCCCATGTCTGCGTCATAGTGCAATAGCAACAGCTAATTCGCAGCACTTGTCCCTCAATGGGCTTTTTAGCAGTACCTCTGATGTGACAAAGCACTTCCTCCTAGCTTACTTTGGTAAAAGTGGGCATAATTTGCACTACTTCCAGTTTGTTCTGTTTATTTGGATATGCAGTACAGCTGTTGAGCTCAGGGACTTTAGTGATTTGAACATAGATCTGCTTGTCCAACGCCTCCAAACAGCTTGATAGACATAATGTGTTCCTGTTCTATTTATGTGTAGAACTTTATCAGCAGTGTTAGTCTGGCGGAGACTAATTAATAGCAAGAATTGATTTGATGCTTTCCTAGATGAGCATATTTTACTGCTGTGATGGCAGAGCACAGACAGGAGTGCTGACCGAGACTTAACCTCGGCACACAAGGAGTCTTCCAACTCCTGCTTTGTAACAGGCTAAGGATGTGATTAAGTTGCCAGCCTAATGTAAATAATACACTGTCTGTGGAAAAAGAGGCAGTGTCTGCAGGGAAAGTGAACGGTTCTATTAAGCAATTAACAAGGGAAGAGAGCAAGTGAGAGATAAACTGTGAGTGTTACTCGCTAAGAAAATTGAGAGTCTGGGACAGGTTGGCATTAGTTCACTATTATTTCCTGTCCCTCCATTATGAGGCAGGGAGTTGGAATGATGAGGCTTTTGCATCAATGTGTCTGGATCTGCTTGTGTGTATTTATGGATGTGGATGTCTGCTCTGTCTCCCAGCACTGAGAACAATCCTGCAGCTCGCACATAATAACTCAAGCTGATACCAAGCAAAGCCTAGGCAAAACTCTATTAGGGCATAAAGAAAGGCATCCACTATCTTGCTTTGCGCCACTGTGTGTTTGTATGCATTTGTGAAGATGTCTTGTCCCGTGTGTTTTGCTAACATTTATTCATTATGGTATTAGACATCTGTGCAGCAGACCGATTTGAGCAAGCTGTAATGCTTTGTCCAGTTGTTACGGGTGTTTGTGGTGGCCTGCAGAGTAAAAGCATTCCTTGGATTCTTCAGAAGCAAAGCAGAACTGTACTCAGTGTGCCAACTGCGCTGACTTTTAAACTGTCATTACCGCTGATGGATTTAGGCATTTCCTGTACTTAATGTTTTACTGTGTAATGAACTTCTTGAAGCAGCACTCATTTGGGGCAAGCAAAGTGGTTCCAGTGCTAAACCAAACCTGATGCTAGAGTGTGAAAAAAAAAAAAGTTTCCCACTGCTAGATAACCAGCTTGGTGCTAGACCATTTTGTCACTAAAAATCTTTCTTCTAGTGGTCATGACTTAATTAAATAGACAACGTAAGTAATGTAGGTACTATGCTTCACCCATTCTAACACTTAGAATATGGGCTGCTGCTATTACTTTTGTCATTTAGTTTGATTTGCAGTCATACGTGGGATCCTCAATCCTAGATTTGAGGACCTAGTCAGTGGTTTTGAAGGTTGTTTAAAATCCTGATTGGTAGATTAATACATCAATGCAAGTGAATGTTTGATTGTTACTTTTCTAAACCAGTACTACAACCAGTTTGGCAGGAAAAAAAAGTCCCATTCCCAAACTACAGAGTTGTTTAAATATTTGAATACTTGTTCCGTCCTGTGAGAGAAAACCCCTTTTTAGTTAATGAATATATTAATGAAGCATGGAATATTAGTAATGGACACTTGCCAGAACAAGGCTTTGTTGACCCTGTTAGAACAATTTAGCACATGGTTTTCTGATGTAACCACAAGATTTTAAACAAAAAAAAAAGAATAATATTTCTGTTACTATGGTCTCACAGTAATTGAGTCCTTCCATGATTAACAGGTGTGGCAATCTAAATGAGTTATTAATCTAAACTTTTCATTAAACAAAAACAAGAAAAAAAAACACAGCTCTGAAAACATGATTGTTTGCGGATTGATTTTAAATAATATATTATATAACTGTGTTGGAGCTGCAATTGTACCAGACGACAGCATCATACCTTCACCCACTTGCGCAAGAAAGGAACTTTAGATTCACTTTTCAGTTTTTATACAACATGTTCCTGATAATACTGATCGTGAAATAGATTTGCAATAGGTGTTAAATATTTCTTCATTTTTGTTACGTCTTTTCCCGTCTCTGATCTTCAGCGTTTCTTTTTTTCTCTCTAGTACTGTGGTATTCAAGCGTCCTGTGGTAAATCCTGTCGAAGTGTAAAAACACACATTTATCCAGCCATTATGTGACTTTTCAGGGAACTGTAAAGGAAATGTATGTAACCTGTCAATGGCAGCAACTCACCACATGAGCTTAAAGAGCCTGGATCTAATGATAAGCTTAATTTGATTTTTCACGTCCCTCCCTTCGCTATTGGACTCTTGCCAAAGCAAAACCTCTGACAAAGCTGGTTCTGTTGCGGAGAATTCAAATGCAGCAGTCTGGTGTAGCTCCAAGGTGTTTCACTTTCTCTGCTTGGTAACAGGTGTAAACTGTTTAGAGGTGCTAGCTGTGTTGTTATGCTTCACACTGCTACATTCTCACTCAGGACACGGCTATGTAAATTATTGCTGCAATAAATTTCCCACGTTTGCATGTGTTTTGGTTCATAGTTCATCCGGACAGCTTCTTTCTAGTTTCTGCAGGTTCTCTTTCTTCTTTTGAAAGACTGGCTTCAGTAAACATTTTTCACAAATTCACAAGTGGAAAAAACAAATAGATGATGTCCCATCACACATAAGGAATGTATTAACAGCTTTGTGTGTATTCACAGATAATAGTTTTCTCAGTTATTAATAAAACTCATGATTTTTTTTTTCCTTATAAAGAAGTCGTTTTAAGTTGGAAAACCAGGAACAGGAATATTTTGGGGGCCAGTGTTAAGAACTTAATAAAATACTTCCTCCCATGTTTTGGCCTTTCTGCTTCTGTGACTGAAAAAAAAGGTTTTTACCTAGAGAAGATAATAGATTGCATTTTTTTTTTTTACCTTCTCAGCCAGCACTATCCAGAAGTTGCTATTTTCTATGTTGGATGACATCTTGGCCAAATCCATTCATCTGGCCAAATATATTATCACCATATAAAATGTAAATGCGTGGTGTTCACAATATGTTGATGTGCCACAAATTGCATCAGCATTGTCTTTTGTGTCTTTGATGTTGCACACATTGCCATTGTGACGAGGATTTTAGTTTGATTTATTGTGCTGCTCTAAAAGGTGGATAAAGCCAAAACCAGCGAAAATTTGCAAAGAACATCCTTGCACTTTATTTTTATCTGCATTTGAAGCTGCATTCGATTTCTTTTATTGTTTTATTACTTTGTTGCAGTTACAGTCATGGTAACAAGAGGAAGTCTTTTCTTAGATATTCTGATTCAGCTCAGATGACCACATTTATACGCACCATTTTAAAGATGGACACTTATATTTAGCTTAACACTTGACGGAGGCTGCTGTAAACCCGAAGTCCTCCACTTGTTTGGAATCATGCTGTGGTAATGTCAGGCACGAACAGGTGGCTGCACAGGTTAAAAATACACTCGTACGTCTCGTGGTTGTCGCTGCTTTTAGTGGGAGGAGCAATGGAGCAGTACAACACCGAGAGGTGGAGTGACTCAGTTAAATTAACACCCTTTTAGTTTAGTTGCCATGGTTGCCTTGTGACAGCATACACCTTGGAAATGTCACATTCTCTCTCTCGTCGCCCGCTCATATTCTGAGGAACATTGCCACTTGGAAACTGATATCATTGTTTCCGTCTACGTGTGTGTGTGTGTGTGTGTGTGTACGCGCGCGTGTATGCGACTGTGTATATCCCGCTAAGCAGGCTGTGGTTGTAACAAAAGGTTAAACACTTTCTCTCGGGAGATTTATGTTTCGGGAGTGTGCCAATTTCAGGACGTTCCCTTGACAAGCACTCGGCGTATGGCACTGAATGATGTTCAGAGGTGAAGCACAGGCCACCCCGGGCCAAAACCAGACTTACGCAGTTGGCAGCTGGTATGCGACGGCCGACTCTTGAATGAAGCTCCAATTGAGCTAATGCACAGCAAGAGTCCAGCCCTTTAATGCACACTTGAACAAAACCACACACCTTTTCCTCCCAGCTCTGTCATAGCAGAGCTCACACGTCTGTTTTTTACCCACACAGCAATTTTCCGTGATTACAGAGGCTGCTGCTCCTCCACCTCCGTCAGCAACTATATGGGGTGGAGAGACAAGGTATAAATCTGCAGCCAATCGACTGAAAGTGAATTGCGGCCTCTGCCAAGTTATAGCTGGGCACACAAAGGCCATATTTCACCTGTATCGGTCGTGAGTGAAAGGGAGTGAGTGTGGATGAGAAATATTAGGGAAATGAATATGACAAAGCTCATGGATAAGAAACGTTATCATATTTCACATTTTGGTGACGTCGGTTAGTCTGACATTTTATTTTCAGAATGACTGGATCAGGTAGTTTAAAGCTACCAGGACTACATTTAAATCCTCCTCTGTCTTTTGTAGCTCAGTAATTAGTTACTAAAGCTTGTAGTTATATTATTTGAAATAACAGGCTGTGGTTGTTTTTTTCCTTGTTTGTGATGACATTATTATTTTGCTGTTGCGTAGTTGATATTAACCACACCCAAACATTAAGTAACAAGCTGTCCATCGAGTTGCTGCGTTTACAAACTGAGACGATACTTACACCCAATGCTGGATGAAAAGTATTCAATCTTGAACTTAAAAAAAAAAAAATAAGTGTAAGATTAAGATTTTATGTCTTGAAGTTTAGTGTTGGGTTTAGTTTTCTGAACAGAGACATTCTAAAAAAATGTCATTTAATGTCTTTGCAGTGAAGAGCTGTATATTGAGATAGCTCGTCATATTGCTGGCTGTGATGAGTGAGAAGCCATTTTGAAAAATGCAGAATCAAAAGCAGGAAAACATTATCAAATGTTTTAGACCGAACACTTCCTGAGTGCCTCAAGCAAGCTTTGTTTGCATCACAACTTCTCCCTGGATGCAGATTAGGAGCTTTCTCCTCTATTGGGTTGTTGAACAATACATGCTCAAACAGGCAGCCACACAGAAACACTCTAGAGAAGGACGAGAGTTTGTTCGCAAAACCTTTTGCTGCAGCTGCATAAGGGAGTCTTTTTTTCTGTGCCATCTTAGAGTCCTTTGGCTGATTAAACGGTTCCCATTGCCAAAGTTGTTCAATGTGATTCCCAAAGCTTCAGCAGAGTCTGCCACGGTAACAGAAACAAAGGTGTTGCAGCAGTCAAGCAGCTCAGACTTGGCAGCAAAGAACAGCACCAACAGTAAGACACCGAATCCAAGTAACAACAGGAATCTGCTATCTCCCAACTTGAAATTACTGATATTGTTTTTGCCTCTAACATTTATGGAGTTTAGTGTTGATAATTAGGGATTTAAAAGGTGAGATGGAACAAAAAGAATATTTTGACTTTCATATTAGGCATTTCCATGTGGGGTCTGAATTGGTCCAGAAATTCTCCATCACAATAACCTGTAGCTGTAAAGCACAAGCTGCAGGAGAAACCTTCCTTCTTGTCGTGCATAATAAAAATCAACCCTTTTCCAGACAAACAAAATTAGACTCCTAAAATTAAATCAGCCAAGCCATTTTACAGGTTTATTACATAAATAGATCATATTTCTGGATTAGAGGCCTGTTTGTTGTAAGACAACAGCTTGTGTTAGTCTAATCAGGCATAACGTATTTGGCTGCTTGTTTAAAAACGACAGAAGAATGAAGAGGTTGATTAATCCTCTCAATATCTCATGAGTCCAGGTATTTATAACATTTACACTGGCCTATTTTTCACCACTTATTCATGCATAATCTCTGGTATGTGGATTCATGTCAGCCATCTCTCTTCACAAAGATTGCAGTTTGACTTTGTCTGCTAAAAACTGATGCTCTATAATGACAGAAAAGCCCACTGTGAGGCAAGGAAGGGAATGGAAAATAAAGAATTAAATGAGAAAGTATGACTTGATTCAGATGCAAACAACTCTCATAAACCATGTCTTTTCTGGATTATAGCATCTGTATCTGTAGAAAATCCTCTCTTGTAACATAAAATAAGGATGCCTCACTGTTTGCACTGTAAGGACTTTTTGATCTTGCTCCCTGAAATGCATGGTTAAAAGTGATTACGGTAAATTGAATCAGGTCTGATACACTTTCTTTTTGTCTATTTCTGTTCCACTCTTTCTGTCTATTTTTTTGTTTTAGTTTCTTATTATTGTCTAATAAAAGCTGATTACCACATCAGCTTTTATTAAAAACTGTAAAATATTTGCCAACACTTAAGCAAACTTGTTTGGTTGTGTGAATACAGTGTTAAAGGAATACAACTACTTACGTTTATAGCCTACAGGGTTCTAGAAACCCTGTAGAAAGTAAATAAATTAAACCAACATAAACTTTCAAACCACATCCATGTAATAGCTGTGCCCAAGTTTGTACCTTTCACACTGAAAAAAAAAATTCCCCAAACCAAGCTTGATTTGAATAGATTTAAATGTGCAACGGAGCCCAAGCTGCTCCTGTCGCTGTTGATTATAAATTTGCATGGCAGAGACAGAACTGATCTGTGAGCAGAGCCCTACATTACCTGTCAACGTCAGCCTGTGCGGGGTTGTTTCCTCTTTGCTTCCTCTTTGCTTTATTGTCCGTCTGCGGCTGTTGTCTTACAGGTTTAACCCAGCTAATATTATAAATACAGGAGTAGTTATAAATAATAACTTAAATTTCTGGAGCTGTTAAATTTTTCCTGAAAAAGTCTCACGCTAATCCTTATCTGATATTTCAACTTGTCTTCAAGCTATGTCTGAAGGCATGATGCAAAGCACATGTAGATGTATTGTAAATATAGGGATCTGTGTGATCTGCACCTCAGAAATGGAGAAGGATTTTCAGGTTTGTGTGTGGACGCTGGGTCTTTTGTTCTGTGTTGCCCTGCAATGACCCATTCAGAGTGTACCGCTCTCTCACTCAGCGAATTACACAGCTGAGCCTGGAAAAGTGTGTACTGAAGACCCTGACATGTCTGATGCATTTCTTGGTCTTCATTGTTTTCTTACAAACCTCTGAGGCCTTCTCTGGATTTATACTAAGATTAAATTACTCATTAATGGTTAGTCTGTGGGCTGTGGTGCAGTTGGTTGAGCTGTTGCCTTGCAGCAAGAAGGTTCTGGGTTCGATTCCCAGCCCGGGGTCTTTCTGCAAGGAGTTTGCATGTTCTCCCTGTGCATGCATGGGTTCTCTCCGGGTACTCCGGCTTCCTCCCACAGTCCAAAAACATGACTGTCAGGTTAATTGGTCTCTAAATTTTCCCTAGGAGTGTGTGTGCATGGTTGTCTGTCTCTGTGTCCCTGCAAGCAACTGTCCTTTCCAATATGATTACTGCACACACTGACATTGTGATGACGATATGTTTTAAATATATTATGCAGCCCTACGTCTCAATGCATTTAGCTAAAAGATACAAGAATCCTGTAAGGTTTAATTGTTCCATTGTCCTTCTCCTCCTATCTACTTAAAGCAATAACCAAGCCCAGTTGCCATGACAATCCAACAGCTTGTTTTTCGTAACACCCCCCTCCCGGCAAGGATTTTACTGCCATCCCTGCTCCAAACCAGGTGGCTGCTTTCCTCTGAGAGCCCTTTCAAATTAAAGCATTCAGTGGAAAGACTTTAAAGCCCAGATCAAACTTCCATTCTCTCTTATCTGACGCTTTGATGGAGACCTTTAATGGCTTCCGTTGCTCATCAGTTTGTTTTTGTGTTAAAGTGGCTCTTAAAACTTAAAAGGAAACTTTAAATGCGTATCCTGCTCATTTTTCAATTAAAGCAAGTATCAATGTTCTTTCCCTTTTTCTTCACGGGTTTTAAACTAAGCAGAGAAGCAAATGTTCCCCGTTTTGTTACGCAATTCGGTTTTCCTTTGTTGTAATTGAAACTATGCAGTGTGGACCACACTTCCGTCTCAGTAATTAATTTCTTCCATTCTTTTTTTTCCCCTCAGTTTTTCATCTGCGCTGTCACAGGGAAAAATATGAAAAATTGAATTGAAGGAGTATTGTCGTCAGAACCTTATACTTTAAATTATCCACACTTCTTCTGCAGGAAGCCTTGGGGAAATTCTACTGTTTCATACCAGTATAAATAATTTTGCTGTTTTTTGTCTTTGTGCTACTTGAAGGATATAATAAAGAAGAAGAAACCCAATTTTTAGGAGCGTTTAGATGCAACACTAATGCATGTAAAATTCCAGAGTTTCTATAAATGGTGTTGCACATTAATCTGGGCGCATCTTCAGATGACTCAAGTGTCTGTATGAGTCTTCCCACCTGGCTAAATATTACATTAGCATGAAAAATCCAAGTCCATAACACTTTGAATTTATTAGCCATCAAAACAGTCCTTTGCAATATGAATACTGTGCACACTGACATTGCGATGATGATATTTTTGTGATCTATTGTGTACCCCTTCACGAGCTGTTTCTGTGTTTTATCTTCATTTATCTTTTTGTCTCATCACTCGCTTAAATGACTTTTGGGAACAGCATTTGACCAGAGGAGTGAACGTGAGTGTTGTGACCCACAAGCTTTTTCTGATGGGGTTTTGAACACGGTAAAATCATCAGATGGATGGATATTTGCTTGAAAATAATCTAGATATCCCTGAAGATACCAGTCCCTCCCAAAGAATAGTTCCCTTCATTCTCTTGTGGGGATGGAAAATGAGCTTTTGGTCAGTTGAGTTTGTCGATATAGTTCAAACTGTTTTATTTTTTAAGACTCTTTTCCACAGACCTCATCAATGTCTAGGAGACAAAACCTCAGACACTCTAGCAGCGGGTTCCATGGTTTAGTAAATCAAAAACATAGATTTGCAATAATTTTGCGCAGATGTTTTATTTAACGAGAGTAAACCAATCATAGGAGTCCGACCTACGTACGTGCTTTAGATCTGTTTATGCTTAAATACTCCAGATGTAAATGGTTGCATTATTCTTGCATTTTGTCACTAAGCACTGCAGGAGTCTGCTAATGACCAAACATTTTAAATCAGGTGGATTCAAGCAGGGACACATCCAACAGAGGATAATCAGTGGCAGGAATTGCTTAACACATTATAGGGAATGTTTACAGCTGACTTTAATATTCTGTATCGTCTGTGTCCTGTCGCATCAGCAAAATCACATTTATGTCTCATATCAAAGTCTTAAATTGGAAACTACAATTTTGTGTAATTTTGTTCTGATTAAATTGAAGATGCTTTTTTTGTAAATCATTGGGGATTTACAATAACTTCCTTGTTTGTTTCGGCGTTAAAATGGAGGAAAAAAATTCAAAATTAATTAAACTTGAATAATGGGCAATCTGATATTAAATAGAGTAACTATATATTGGGTAGAATAAGTAATAGTTGTGAAGAAGTGAGCAGCATTTTTGCATTTTTGTCTGACTTCTATTTTTATTTTCACTTCTAGGGGCCCAGTGGTTTTCATTTAGGAAACTACTTCCTTCCTTAATGACAAAATGTCCCTTTTGTTGATTTACAAGGGACAGAGTAAACCTTATTATGTGAGCAAAATGAGACTGATAAAGTGTCTTGTTAGTCAACATGAAGATTTCATTAAGTTCAAAAGCTTCATCCGTAAAATGAAAAAAGTCTTAAATAATTTTCAATGAACATGTTTAGCCTTTCTGAGTTTCACTTTATTCTCGCTGTCCTATTTGGCGTGCAGATGATCACACTGCACTGATTCGTTACCCTTGGTGCTATTGTTGTTTAGCCTCTTTGCCCTTCTCTTTTCTAATGTTTTCCACTCTTAACTGATGCGTAAGACATGCTTTTCCACATTCGTTGCAAGGCCTCAGTGAATTCATTCTGCTGGAGGCATCAGTACAATTGATGGCTTACACTCAAGTCCCAATTTGTTAATAAGGCAATTACAGGCTTTTTGCTTTTGAACAATCTTCAGGGCTTCCTGCACATAAAGGAATGACCAATTGCGCTAATGAGCAACAAGGAAAAGAGGTTTTAACTGCATTGCAAAGACCTAGAGTGGTCAATTGGATTGCTAGAACAGAAAACCACAGATAACAAATGAGGCCATAATGTCCTCTCACTACACACATCTGCTGTTTCCATTTGAAGAAAAATTCAATAAAATCATATATATGCAGTTTCTCATTTTTAAAATGCTGAATAACTTGCCAGAATCCTCTTTTTTGCATTTAATGCCACGGGGGAATATAGCATCTACAAACCTTGATATATTACCAAATTTATTTAAAATAATTAAATGTGCTTTACAGTACTAGGCTTTGTACTAAAGAACATTGAAGTCATACATCATCTCGCAGAAGTAATCAAAGCCCTTGAACATTTTCACATTTTGTCATGTTACACTTCAAACTTCGGTGAATTTTATTTAGCTTTCCCTTTAAATTAAACACAGATTGACTTTTGAAACCTGTTGCACATAACTGTATTTATACATTGGAGCTAGTGGTTGTACTTTCATAAAATGCGCAAAAGTTCTTACTTACGCCTGCTCTGTAAGATTTGACGTTTCGGTTCAGTGTTGGTTGACATAGTAATTATGTCTGTCAATAACACTGTTGTCCATCTCTATATTATTTTTTCTTTTGGATGCCCCTCTTTTCCGAGCGCGGCTCCATTTCCGCTTGAGCAGCTAAGTGTGTCACAAATGTGGGTCACTTGTCTTCACTCCTCACTAAAGTCAATTCAGTTTGGTGAACTGATATGAAGGTATCAAATTTAAACAGCTTTGAGGTGCTCAGGGGCAAGACGAAAGGCACAGCAGACGGCCACACTTAAAATACCAGCTCCTCCCTGAGAGCCTTCCTCGACAGATGCATAACAGGAGGAAGAGGAACAACACCTGCCCCCTTACAGTGGAGACAGAGACGGATTTGGACAAACCCATTTTTAATTGTTCATCAGCAAAAAACGAAAGGGCCATAAAACCTTTCAAGCAGATTTCACTTTATAACCACATCATGGTTTTCTAATAATTACTCTGTGTGCATCAGAGGTTTCTGTCTCCTATGAATCCGATGACAAACACAATTATCTATGGTTTCTCTGACAGGAAAACAAATAAACTTTATCCGGCTTCCGAGTGGCGGTAAGCGGACTATGAAGCACGGCCACTACATCAGCATATGGATTATTAGAGACTAATGTGCATTCTGATTTATTGAAATTTTATTTGTTTTTCAATTTTAGCATCCATTCTTAAGCCACCGTTCTTCAGTTTCTCTGCTAAAAGTTAACAGAATGATAACTTCTCTTTGCAAAGGTTTTTTGATGAGTTGGTAATTATAAAGATAACTTTTTTTTTTTCTTTAAGATTTTTTTTTGCTCTAGTGGCCATTATTTGATAGTTAATCGACAGGAAAGTGGGCAATGAGAGAAGGGGGAAGACATGCAGCAAAGGTCGCCAAGGCTGGCAATCAAACCTGCTACAGCCGCGTCGAGGACTAAAGCCTCCATATGTGGGTTGTGCTTAACCCCTGCGCCACTACAGCACACCTTATAAGGATAACTTAAATGTTTTTTTTTTTTCTTTTGAATAAGTAATACCACACTGGAAGTATTTGGTTCCACTGGTGCTGCTTTAGTTATTTTGTTTATGCAGCCAACATTAGGGAATATTTTTGCCTCATCATAGATGTGTTTATTACAGAACCTTAAGCAATTTTAAAATGATTTGATGTGCTGACTAAAGCAACCGTCTTTGCCGTCCGTGTATATCCTGTCGTGCCAGACGGTCTGCTGCTCTACCACATTTTGTTGAATGACTTTCAAGAGATTTTTGGCAGGTTAGTTTAACCATCTGCTCATCACTACCTCTGTAGCCGCTTGGCAAACTCACAGTCCTGTCAACATCAGCCATAAGAGGCAGGGTAAATGTGAAGAAAGCATCCAATGTCATTCCCTTTTTTCTTTTAATAAGGTAATATATCCAATTTTCTTATAGGTGTCCTTAACCGTGTCTGTTTAATGGTCAGAGTAATTCTAAAATAAGAACCTTAGCTTCCTGAACTGAAGGAAGATTCTCCCTCATATCATTTTAATAGCCTTGTCAGAATTCATCTTCTTTAATACATTGTTATAAAAGACTACATTTCTACTGGGTGTCCAGAGTAAATACATTTGTATGAAACTAACCATTCGCAACAATACAATTAATTGTTGTAAAAGCTATTAGGTTATGTTATACACTTTATATTTATGTTTTTATGTATGTTTCCATTGTTTTTCCTCAGTCTTGCTGTCTTAAATGTAGACAGGCCTCTATCAGAAACAGTATAACACGACTGCATTTCTGGTGCTGTAAGAAATGTCTTATTTCTTTTCACTGAGTCAACGCGCCATCTTCTGCTCTCTGTCTTTATCCTTCCAGCAGTGTGATTTAAAAAAGAGAAAAGGCAAGTGCAAGGAGAAGGGCAGGATCAGAAGAATAATGTTTAAGAGTCGCAGAGAGAAAGAGAAAGACAGACAGATTTGCCTGTAGAAAGAAAATAGGAATGCATTTTTTTAAGCAGCCTGCTTTTGTCCTGACTTCAAAGGCCCCGCAGTTTGCACTTAAAACACATCTAAATGAGGTTACATGAAGGATGAGAGCCAACACTGTATTGTATATGCCACTGGATTCGAGCAGAGCAACACATTGACACATTGCTCACTTTCAGCTTATAGAGTGACTATATATGTGGTAGAATTACAAATATCTGGAAATTTTCATTTATTTGTGATCTTTTACTGTGGAGAGTAAAATATTCAGGCATAGGAAGAAAGATCAGGCTACGATGTGCAGATGCCACCAGGATCTTCTGTGTTGTTTTTTTTTTGTTGTTGTTTTTTTTCTGATTGATTTTCTCTGGGGACTTTGTGCATGTATTTTCAGCTTATACATTCCTGCATGTGTCACCCACTATTGAACCGGGGAGGTGGGATGTCAGATGTTTGTTCCACTGCAGCAGATAAGAGCGTCCCCCGTTGTGCCTTGAGGATGCCGAGGAGATGAGGAGCAGAATTAAACGATGCACTGGAGACTGACGGAGGGAGATGGAGGGAGAAATCGTGTGTATGTGTGTGTGTTATCTAAACTGCCATCTGCAGACTAGAAAGTTGCTGTGAAGATGTGAGAAGACAGGAGGGAGAGAAAATGAGAAGAAGCTGAGCAGGTACGTATCCATGAAGAGGAAAGGTGAGCCAAATGAGGAAGAGAGGCAAACGTTCAAAGACAGTGGAAGCAGAAATGTGACAAACAATATGATGGAAGCCATGGAAGGAGGAGGAAGCCAAAATCCAGCTAAAATCATAACAAAGGCTGGACAGGAGAGAATAGCGAGCGATGACGGGCAGATGAATCAAACGGCTTTGCTTTCTTTGTCGTCCCACTCTTGTTCCCAGTTTTATCTGTCAGAGGAGCACAATCCATCCCGCGCACCTCAGTACACTCCATCCATCACTGCGCATACAAGTGTGTGTCCAAGATTTGATTGGTAAGTAAGGAAAAGTGTGACCAGAGGGAGCCCAGGAGCCGCTCACATCATCGCTCTCGGTCTTCAGGTGTTTCCAGTGACTGAGCACTGAGGACACTGCAGATTAATGATAGAGATAAGGTGGGATCTGTGTGTGTGTGTATGTGCAGTTCAAGCATACCTACCAAGGTGAATGTGTGTGTGAGAGCGGGAATTTGTACTCTTATGGATGGAACAAAGATTCCTGCAGCCTTTATCTTCACGCTGGTTTGTTTTGCGGAGCGTGTTGGCTGCTGATAGCCATTATCAGCTGTGGCCATGCTCTTGTTTTGCTCAGCCTCTCTGTTATTTCCACCATTCCTCTTTTCAGTCCCTCCTCTCCAGGTTTTCTCATTTTGCTCTTCATTTCTTCTGACCCCTAATCTCTTTGTCCTGTTCTCATCTCTCTTAAGAAAGTAAAAGCTCAAACTGATTAGCAAAGTCAAGCGAGCCTACCTTTCCATGCCTTATTTTCTACCCAAGTCTTTTTATCTGCACTGAACCACATCATAGAACGGCAAAATTTAATCTACATTTATATGCAAGTTTCTTAACAATTAGACTGTAATGGAACTGAGTTGCTGCAATTCCACCAAGATAAATTTTCTAATAACCTCATTATTTCTGCTGTCGGTAAATGGAGATTCTCTTGCTGATGAAGTGAATGAGTGGCATAGCAGTGTGCGCTGCCTTTGTTTCCCGCTAACAACTAGTGTGCTGCTGTTAAATAACAGGATATGATGTGACAGTAGAAACAATGGAGATGTGGTGAAAAAATATTTTAATATTTTTTATAAATCTGTTCTGGGGAATATTAATACATAAAAAATGCCTGAAATGTGATTTGTTAGAGTTTGAGGGTACACACACAGGCAGTGAAAGAACAGTCTTCACTACATACATTTTTATTCTTCTCCCTGTCTAACTTGACTTGAAAGCACTATATGGTACACTACATTTAAAAACCAAAAACTCAAACAAAAGTATTCATACTCCTATAACGTTTGGCTTCAGAGGTTTAGTGAACATACAGCATCATGAAGACCAAATCAGACGAAAGACTGAATCGGGATGCAGTTCTATAAACCAGGGTTTGGTTACAAAACATTTCCCAAGTACATCATGCAAAGCGCGGTTCAATCAATTATCCAACATAGAAAGAATGCGGCACAATATGGCGGCTCCCACATCCCATCTCCACAGCTTGAGATGGAACAACAACCGAGAAATCTAACCTTTATGAAAGAGTGGCAAGAAGAAAGTCATTGTTGAATGAAATCCTTAATATGTGGAAGACAGAACAAACATTTGGATGGAGGTGTTCTTGCGAGGTTAGACCAAAATCAAACTTTTATGTCACTGCGTTGTGGAAAACAAAAGCTGCATAGCCTCAATGAACACGTTGTTCCTTTAAGTGAATGCATTTTGGTAGCTGCATCACGTTGAGGGGAGGCTTGTCTGTGGGAACTGCACTGGAAGTTTATGGCAGATGCCACAAAAGGCTCGAGATCTTTGTCGCAGGTTTTCCTCCAAAAGGACAGCAACCCTGCGCACACAACCACAGCTACAAGGAAATGATTTACATCAAAGCATTTATGGGTGTTAAAATGGCCCAGTCGAAGTCCAGACCTGATTCTTATAGAGAAGCCTTACAAATTCCTCTTCTAACACTCTCTGACTGAGTTTGAGCTATTCTCCAGAGATTTCTGGCTTCTCAGTGTTAAACATTTTAAACCAATTCACAGTTATGAATGACGTCGTGATGATCTGTGACATAAAATTTTGTTAAAGTACGTTAAGGTTGTAAGACTGCATCCATATTAGTCAAATATTAATATCATTGCATTCATGGGATTGCTCTCCACACTTTTGAGATTATGCACTGTGCCTATATCAGACAATGCCCAAATGTAGTAATAGTGACAATTGATTGATCGAGCTTTGTGATTGGCTGGGAAAAAAAACAAAAAACATTCAATGAATACTTTTATTAGCACTTCTATTTAAATTTGCCGATAATGATCTTTTAACATCACAAATGTCTATTTTTGCTAAGAAACCATTTCCAATTACTTCAGAATCATAAGCTATTGAAAACAAGAATCAGGATGATTATTAAGCTGCATAACTGTTTCTAGGTCGAAACAGTTCAAGTTAAATGAAATGACCCTGACGGATCCAAGTGAGAGACACAGTAAAAGCTTTTTAAATTGTCAAGATATTATGAAAATGAGTCACAGTGTTCCTTTTTGATTAAATTACTTTAGCATTTAAGACACAAAACAGTCAACCATTAAAGGGACATTGATAACTCCCACAAGTACTTGCAGCTACCATGTTCAGAACAAAGCTGACTTATTTTCATACAGTCAAGTTAGTAGCTCTTCTTGTAGATGAAATATCTTAATATTTTGTCAATAGAAGGAAATCAAGGATATGAATTTTTAAAAGCCTCTTAAGAAAAAAAAGTGTGATGTAAAAGCTAAAACTTAAACTGAAAATCCTTCCAAGGAAAGAGACTTTTTGTATTGTAGAACTATAAGTAGAAGCAGGTAAAAAAGCATATTTATGCTAAATGCACATTGCTCTTGATCATTGCCTTATGCTTAAGGTTGCTTAAGATTATGGGAGTTCTGTTTTCTTTTAATAAGACAGTAGCAGCTTTCCTTTCCCACCTCTTTAAATGTCACAGAATCAGCAGAGGCAGATAAAACTGGCTTGTGATGTCTCATTGCTTTCACATGTACGTAGTCTGACTACAGCACATATTCCCTACCTGAAAATAAAAAGCAGTACATATTTTTTTTTTTTTTTTTTTCAAAAGTCAGGAAACCAAAACCTGAGGCAAAATAGAGGAAATTTAAAGTAAACAAGATAGATGCTCTTTGGCCTGTGTTACTCAAGCACATCAGGTATGTAACTTTATCACTGACAGGTTGTTGGAGTTGCTCTATTGCAGCATTTCTCAAAGTCAAGACTTTGGTCTGGGTCCGCTCTGAACAGCATGTCAATCCAAACCCAGCTGACGGTGCAGAAACCGAGCTGAATCGTGGAATTTGACATAAAAATGCTGAAACATTACAACGGCTTTGTGACACAGAGTTAACCGTGTGTTGGTTACCTGAGCAAAGAACAACGTCCTGAAACTTTGAAGAAATAAGAGGACAAGGGAAAAGAAAACCCTCGTACTTGTTACTGTTGTTTGTCTGCAAATTATAATAGATTTATTAAACAACTGTGGATCACGTTACATTGTGTAGAGAGTTTGTGTTTTATGAGAATAACTTTTTTCATTCCTTTCATGTAAAACTTTTATAACAAAATCCTTAGGGATAAGTGATGGGTGTTTTGGGGAGCTTTACAAAATTATTAAATTCCTAATGAACTGGGGTTAATTTTTAAACCATCTATCCACTGTCTTTGCCACTTTTATGTGCAGAAGGCATTGGCGTTTATTTTGTAGTGCATGGAATTATTGAAGATAAAAATGGAATTTACTAAATAATATGTCCTGTTTAAAGAAATATACAACTCACGTAAGCTGTTCTTAACTTATTTATTTCTTGGTTTACCTCAGTTGTTTAGCTATTACTTGGTCTTGC